AATACTAATTTCACAAAATCGTGCAATAATTTGATCAATCACAGTAGCCTATTTGAAGTTGGAGCAGAAGCTCAGAGGTTGAGAGGTTCATTAATTGTTAGTTCATTATTTGTTTAACGGATGAAGATTAAACTTACACTGTGAGCAGGCTGAGGTATGTTCCTCCCATTCTTTAGTCCGGTAACATTCCAGTGGTTCATCTAGTGTCATAAAACCCAGTTCCACCAACTTATCTCTGTTATCTCTTATTCTCTTGTATCTTTTGAGACTGTGTTCACACACACCTCCACAGTACCTGGCCCCTTCAAACAACTTCCACAGTGACATTATGTTCTAAATATTACAAAGTAGATTTAGTTGGAAGCAACAGTTAGTTTACAACAGAGATATTATAAATATAACTTAAATTTAAATATTAATCAAATGTTGGTTCAAAGTTATATAAATACGATCAAGAATTATAAAATAACTTTTAATAGAAGAAAAATATATAGTCCTATAAACAATAGGGATAAAGTAATTCGTCAAACTTTAAGAAAATTACCAATAACAATTTCTTCAACAAGGTCTATTCTTGCAAGTAATTTCATGTCTGTTTTTGCTAGAAGCTACACTAAACCTCCTATCACAGTAAGAACAGGAGAACAGTTTCTCGCCTGTGTGTGTCCTCATGTGTCTAGTTAAATGATTGTTCTGAGTAAACCCCTTACCACACACACTACACTTGTATGGTTTCTCTCCAGTGTGTATCAGAGCATGTTTCTTCAGATCACCAGATTGTAAAAACAGTTTTCCACAGTACTTACACTCGTGTTGTGATTCTAGCTCACGATCACCATGTGTTCGCCTGTGGTATTCAAGATTATCTGCTCTGTTATAAGACATCGGACACACATCACATCTGTATTGTTGTAGTGGATGCTCTGTGCTGATATGATCATATAGATCCTGTTCAGAAGGTTTCTTAACACCACACTGCTTGTACCGACACTTGTATGTTTTATTAGTGTGGTTATTGTAGATGTGAGCAGTGAGTTGCTGCTTCGTAATAGCAGTATAGTCACAGTGTGTACACTTGTACTGTTTGTCCCCATTGTGAGTTAACATGTGACGGGTAAGAACTTGTTGGTGATCAGTCCTATATTTACAGTAAGGACAGCTCAGTCTCGCTACCTTATCGTGTACTGTTCTGATGTGTATAGTTAAGGTACATCTCTGAGCAAACATCTTCCCACACTTGTCACACTTGTGTACTTTCTCTTTGCCTGACAATCTCGGAGTCTTCCCACATGTGTGTGTCTTCAGCTCTTGCTGTGTCTTAAACAGCTTAAGACAACCAGTTGCAGTGCAATGATATTGCTGACCTGTATTAATGAAATATTACTGAAATAAAGTGAGGAACTGTCCAGCAATATCTTGAAATAAAGATAATCTTCGATGTGAAATTTACGACTATTTGTTACTATAGAATTTTTCTTACCATTTTCAACATCAGTCTGCAACGAATACCCTAACTCTTCGAAATAGTCCTCTCCGTAGAAAACTAATAATTCTTCTCCTAACCCAATAGGTTTATACGAATAATACTGTATTCCACCTAGAAGAATTATTCCATGATAAAAGGGTATTTTATCACCAGAATACATCGTAATACAATAGAGCTTAATAATCCGAGGATGGTAAGTTGCAGGTTGACATAGCGAATCTAAGTAAGTAAGAGTAAGTAAGTAAGATAAATAAGAACTAAGAATGACGCATAGCAGTAGAAAACTGGCGAATAAGAACACCCCATTTTACCTGGGATATTTCTTACAAGAACGTTCTCTTCACATTGACCCCGAGCACAGTTAAGATACCGTAACCAGTTGCTAGCCCTGTGACTTGCCCCATCTAGATAGATAACATCCCCGTCCTGACTAACAGCTCTCCACGCATATCCACTCTCTTTATCTGAAGACTCTAACTTCTTGTACTCCTTTTCTGATATGACTTTTCCCTTGTAGTTACCTGATAAAATAGATAAATCAGAACAACTCACTTTAAGATACAAAAGATTCTTGCAATTGTTGTCTGGTGAAAGGCACAGTGGACACCAAAAAAAGGAGTAAAGTCTGATCTCACCACACCACGTGACCTACCCAATATAATTCCTGGTTCAATAAACTGAGACGCAAAAGCTCCATCTCCAGCCCTGGGAATTGTGGATTCTTTGATTTCAATACAACTAGGTACTGGGAAGTTTGCAGTCTTCTTAGTTCCAGGTTGGGTGATATCTTCTAAACAGGGGAGTAAAGGACCATGTAGTTCACATTCTCCCCTCACATAATCTTTACACTGCCAGCAAACTGAAAAACAGAATTTCATTAAAAACATCATTCATAAAAGAATCCACCGAATTATTACAGTAAAAGTAACAGTAACATTACTATTTAATTTAAGCAAAGATTCTTTTGAACATCTGATTCTGACGGATTTTTATAATTCAGACTTGAATTTTAGTTGCTGATACATAACAAAAAATACCATATAGTATTGATAAACAATAAGTAAACTCCCGTCTACATTGTAACTTACAATATTCAGACTGTAACACCTCCTCCAGATTATCGTTATCATCACGGTATGTAACCCCCTCTTTAGCAACTCTAGGAGGGTTACTACGTCTATTTTTAGAAGCTTTTCCTGCAGCTGCTTCAACTTCTGTCTTGGAGAAGTCTTCCTGAATGTTATCTCTCTCAGCAGTCATTTCTGTAGGAACACTAATGTGTGTCTGTGCAGTGTTTGGCATCTCTTCTGATTCTTTATCTTCGTCAAACAAGCTCAGTAGATAACCATCATCCAACATTCCTAGATACTCAAAATCATCTATCTCTTCTTCTTTCTTCTCAGAGTCAGGTTCTGACTCAGGTAACCAATAAGAAGGACGGGGAATATTGTCAATATTCTCGTACACTTCTCTGTTACTGAGTATGGTGGGGAGTTTCTTTGTTTGTGTTACAGAGCTGGAGCTGGTATTAGACTCTGTTGTTACACCAGATGTGTTATCAATTCTCACATTGTCTGTTTCACTCTTATGATAACTACTGCTACTTTTATCTGGAGTTACCATGTCACTACGTTCAGTATCGTTGTGTGTACCGCTACAAGAGGGTAAGTTGTCATTCGGTTCAGGTGTTGTTCTGGCATATTCTTTGCTTTGTGGTATGATACTTTTGTTAGTACTCGCTTTGGTATGGTCGACATCATTATCTAGAACAGTAATTCTATCCATATCTTTGAGCACCTCCTTCACTTTTTTGTTATACCTGCGGAATAAACAATTAACATGTTAGTCGTATTTAAAATGCACTAGCACTATGTAATCAACTACAATTAAAAAATATATATTATGTTATATGTAGTTGTTAAGAGAAGCCATTAATGTATATTTATGTGCAAGACAACAAAGTATCAAAAGTAAAAACTAACTCGTCCTGCGTCATGTTGTGATAGTTATCATACAACTCAAGTGCTCGATCAAGACAAGTATCTGCCTGGTCCTTGTTTATTCTACCAAACTTATACTGTTCCTCATCATCGTCAGGTACATCATTACTCTTGTCTGACATAAGTTCATTATAGAGGTCAGGAGGCAGCTCAATTCTATCTATCTCCTCATCTGAGGACTCTTCATTCTCCCTGTAAAGTAGTACCCATTAAATATATAATATCATAACATTACTAGGTTCAAAAGAGAACTTCATTGAGAATCTGACAAATATTTATGCAAAAAGAAACACGAACAAAAGTTCTAAAACACGATTATGATCAAGATTCAAGCTATTAAATCAAATTAAATAAGAAGATATAATGTAACTAACATGTCCTCCAGGAATTTCTCCCAGCCACCAGGATAAGTCTCACAAGTAATTTTATAGAACTCCTCATCAGACATAAGAGAGTCTATGTTAGCCTCACATATTTCATGTGTAAACTCAGGGTTTTCTGCAATCAGTTTACACACATCTACAGGACCTTCTCCGAGGTGAGAAGCTAGATTCTTGTTGACAAGTAGATCTTGTAATGCTGGTACAGACTCAGGTTCTGAGTGTAGGAACATCTCTAGTTCCTCTACTTCAGGAGCTTCAGCTTCTTCAGGCTGATTAACTTGTCTTACACATTCTACACAATCCAGTTGTTCTACTTTTATCTTTTTAGACTCAACTCTTCCATTCTTATGTTTCCCCTTCTGGGACTTCTTCTTTTTGTTGGGAGATTTCTTCTTCTTATTGACTACAGGACTGTCTTTGTCATTGTCTGAGCTGTACCTCTCAGCGGGGTTTCTGGGATCAATATTAACAACCTCCTCAAGTTTTATCAACCCATCTTCATACTGATTCAGCAATGTTTCATCTGCGATATGAGATAATGGTTAATATATACGAAAAATGAGTTTTGAGACTACTGTGTCATCAAAAACAAATTTCACAAAATTTGGCAATAATTTGATCTATCACAGTAGCCTTTCTGAAGTGACTACTTAAAGTTGGAGCAGAAGTTCAGAGGTTGAGAGGTTAATTAATTGTTAGTTCATTATTTGTTTAACGGATGAAGATTAAGCTTACACTGTGAGTAGGCTGAGGTATGTTCCTCCCATTCTTTAGTCCGGTAACATTCCAGTGGTTCATCTAGTGTCATAAAACCCAGTTCCACCAACTTATCTCTGTTGTCTCTTATTCTCTTGTATCTTTTGAGACTGTGTTCACACACACCTCCACAGTACCTGGCCCCTTCAAACAACTTCCACAGTGACATTATGTTCTAAATATTACAAACTAGATTTAGTTGGAAGCGACAGTTAGTTTACAACAGAGATATAATAAATATAACTTAAATTTAAATATTAATCAAATGTTGGTTCAAAGTTATTCTGACAATATTAGTTTGAACATCAGTTGGAAAATGACAAATCAAATACAATTAAGAATTATGTAATAACTTAGTCAGAAGAAATAGTCCAGTTAGCATTAAGTAATTTAACAAACTATAACAGAAAGTTACCAATAACTCAATAACAATATTCTCAACAAGGTCTATTCTTGCAAAAAATTTCATGTTTGTTTTTGTTATTACTATCACAAAACCTCTTATCACAGTAAGAACAGGAGAATGGTTTCTCGCCTGTGTGTGTCCTCATGTGTCTATTTAAACTACTGTTCGTATTAAACCCTTTACCACACACATTACACTTGTGTGGTTTCTCTCCAGTGTGTGTCCTCATGTGTCTATTTAAACTACTGTTCGTATTAAACCCTTTACCACACACATTACACTTGTGTGGTTTCTCTCCAGTGTGTGTCAGACCATGTTTCTTCAGAGTACCAGATTTTAAAAACAGTTTTCCACAGTACTTACACTCGTGTTGTGATTCTAGCTCACGATCAACATGTATTCGCCTATGTGCCTCAAGAGTATCTGCTCTGTTATAAGACATCGGACACACATCACATCTGTATTGTTGTAGTGGGTGCTCTGTACTGATATGATCATATAGTTCCTGTTCAGAAGGTTTCTTAACACCACACTGCTTGTACTGACACTTATAAGTCTTGTTAGTGTGGTTATTGTAGATGTGAGTAGTAAGACTCTGCTTCGTAATAGCAGTATAGTCACATTGTGTACACTTGTACTGTTTGTCCCCCGTGTGTGTTAACATGTGACGTGTGAGGTTAGGTTGCTGATCAGTTTTATATTTACAGTAGGGACAGCTCAGTCTCGCTACCTTATCGTGTACAGTTCTGATGTGTGCAGTTAAGGTACATCTCTGAGCAAACATCTTCCCACACACATCACACTTGTGTACTTTCTCTTTTCCTGATACTACTCGATTCTTCCCACATGTGTGTGTCTCCAGTTCTTGTTGTGTCTTAAACAGCTTCAGACAACCAGTTGCAGTGCAATGATATTGCTGACCTGTATTAATGTTATAAAGTGAGGAACTGTCCAGCAGAATTTTGTAATAAAGATAATCTTCGATGTGACCATTTAATTTACGACTATTTGTTACTCTAGAATTTTTCTTACCATTTTCAACATCAGTCTGCAACGAATACCCTAACTCTTCGAAATAGTCCTCTCCGTAGAAAACTAGTAATTCTTCTCCCAACCCAATAGGTTTATATGAATAATACTGTATTCCACCAGTTTTAATACTTTCAACACTACTATATAACAAATAATTTGAGTTTAGGGAATGTGCTAAGTAACACCCCGTATGGGGAGTATGTACTGATAACCTCTCATCTCTGGGGCGAGACATGATGTACCTGCTCAGTGGGTCTGGGAGTTGGATGGAATGCATCCGGCACTTCTTGCGAAGTGTCGGCCCAAACCTTTGGGACTAGGTAAGAGTGTGTCTGTCTGTATTGAGCCCTAATGGTAGTCTTTCGGATGTTGTTATTATTGAAATTGTTTTCCAAATGACTCAATTACATCGTGAGTCTTCTTAATTGCAATGATTTATTTAAAACTAAACTTTTCAATATCTCATTACCATTCCTTTTCTGCCGTTTATTCTCGTTTCAGATAGGCACATCATGCCGCTGTGTGTACCGTCTGACCCCTTGGGCTGCTGTGCTTGTGCTGACTGTCGACCCCTGGAGATGTTCTCCTTCTACAATGGAACTTGATAAACTGAAAGACCTTATAGTTCCCCAACTGGGAAATCTCGCTAACGAAGAACTTAGAAAGGTGCAGAATACATTGGAGAACCTTCTCCAATATACCAACACGCTACTTGATTCTGCACCCTCTTCAGTACCCAAAATACAGGAATCATCGAGTCCATCATCCTCTTCCCCACCTTCTCCATCTCCGCTGCTCCTTCACTATAATCTTCGACATGACCCCCTTAGTGAGCCTCTGGTTGAGGAAGTCCTTGAACACGTCAAGAAGATCAATTACAGCAGGTCTGGAACAAACTTAAGCCCAGATACCTTCCTGTACGGCAGCCAACGATACGCATACAATCGAAGATCTGCTGCCCTCTCACCAGTCTCTATCCAACCCAACACCATCATGGATAAACTGCTGAAGACTGTTAACTTAACACTAGGAACAAAGTATAACTCTATGTTAGTTAACAAGTACAGCTCATATGTGTGTTGCCTTCCTCCCCACAAGGATGATGAATCAGGCCTCGATCCAGGTGCACCAATATCAACACTCTCGATTGGTGCAACTCGGAAAATGAACATTTCCCTTGACAAAAAGAAATCCGTCAAGTACCTTACTCTTACTCCCGGGAGCATATTCACGATGTTGCCTGGTTTCCAGCAATCTTTTTACCATGAAATACTTGCTGGAGACAAAGATGTACAGAAAGAAAGGGGAGTCCGTTACAGTGTCACCTTCCGACGTCTGCTCCCACCTAAAGAAGCCCCTCCTGCTATCCATTCTCCTCCCCCATCCTCCTCCCCTCCTCCCCCACAACCTTCTGCAGAACCGAATACCTCCCCTGCAACCAGCACCTCCAAAGATGCCACATACCCTGATACCTTTGTGTTTGGCAGCTCCCTCCTCAAGAGCTTGAAAACTGAAACACTTTCCAGGCGTGGAAAAATTTTTAAAGTTATCTCCCGGTCTGGAGCACACGCTTGTGACATTTATAACGAAGTTGAAAAGTGTGCCAAGCAATTTAATACATCTAATGTTTCCACTGTGTTCCTTCAAGTCGGGGGAAATGATGTTGAAAATTTGATTGTAGACTCTGACATAAAACGCATATTTGAAGACATTAATGACCTTATAATCCTAACAAAACAGGTATTTCCTGCAGCTAAGATTAATTTCTTTTCACTTGTCCCTAGGAAGGCAAGTTATCTTACACATATTAGAAATATGCATAAGTTTAATGATCTATTAAGTGAGATGTGTAAGAAAGAAAGTATAAGATTTGTTGACTTTTTCTCTTTTTTCCTAAAGAAGACACCTACTATGTGGCTTTTAGATTTTAATATATTTAACAGGGATGGTATCCATCTTAATCCTGTTGGAACCAGTGTGTTAGCCAAAGTTCTTATTGGCGTTGCTAACCAACCTAGGTAGTCACCTTGTAACATGTTCAACTTATAGAATTCAGAGAACTCTTTCATTTTTAACGAACATTATAGCTTAACAATGCTCTCATAATTTGTTCCCATATTTATTAATTGACAATATTTTAATTCATTAACTTCTTGCTTCTTTAACAGAGTATAATCAGTACATATTTTCCAGTCTCCATCTAACTTTGAGTTTTAAACTAATTTATGGGAGTCACGTTTTTACAACACAGAACAGTGATTGGTCTATACTCTCCCAAAGTCAAATGCAATGCTAAATTAAATATAGATTCAATTACCACTATAGAGAAAAGTGCTATTTTAAAGATGATTTATGGAGTAGTGATTGTTGTATATGTGTATATGATCTGTCTGTTATTGGCGGGGGCCATTGAAACAGCAAGTGAATACTCAGACCAAACATTTCGTATGCATCGCTCGTACAAGATCGGACTACACCTGACCAATGACTGGGACTGCCTTATGAACAGTGCAAATCTTGTAGTCCTAATGATCATCTATTCAAAGAAACAAAATGGAATAGCCCTATGGATAGTGAAGTATGGTTGTCCCAGACGTTACTCCTCCGCTAAGTGTAGTGGACATCAGTTCCTAAGTAACATGTTCACCATCTGGACGACCATTCTGAACTTAGTTTTTCTTGTTATCTGCAATACAAGCATACTTAACCCAGGTCCAGTTGATAACAATAACCTCAGTCATCTAAAGGTAATGTACCAAAATTTGAGAGGGCTTGTCCCCTTTAGTGGCCTAGCATCTAAAAACATGCCGCTTGATGCTGGTAAACTACTAGAGCTCCAATCTAAGATCTATGAAGACAAGCCTGATGTTATTGTTCTGACTGAGACTTGGCTTTCAAAAGAGCACCTGGAAAATGAGATCCTCCCTGATAGCATCTACAAGATATATCGGAAGGATAGATCCAAAAGATCCCACCCCCCGGATCCTGATAACCCAAATAAGTTTCGAAGGAAGGGGGGTGGAGTCCTTATTGCAGTCAAGACTGGCATCAGTATTGAAAATGACAAGATTGATGTCAGCTCTAGGGCTGAAATGATCTCAGTCAGCCTAAAATCAAACAACACATGCTACTGCATAACTGCCTGCTATAGAGTTGGCACCCTTGGTGAAAATAATTTTAATGAAATTGAGAAACACCTCAGAAATGTGGTAGGACGGAGAAAGTTTAAGGCCCACTTTGTAGTTGGGGACTTCAATCTACCTGAAGTTAACTGGTCAGACGGTGTGTCCCCCACACTTCTTGGTGGCCGTTTTATAGATCTGTTTAATGACCTAGGCTTAACACAAATGATAAACCAACCCACTCATGATAAAGGGAAGGTCCTCGATCTTCTCTTCTGTAATATGATAAGTGTTGTTGAAAATTTGGCGGTCCTGGGGAAAAATGAGATATGCTCCTCAGATCACTTTGGAATAACTTTTAGTGCTAAAATGAAGTTTAGAAAGAAGGTCACCAAACGAAAAATCTTAAATTACAAAAAAGCAGACTGGATCGGCCTGAACAATGATCTGAAATCAGTTAGATGGGATGATCACCTTAACTGTGATGCAGAAACAGGATGGTTCCGTTTTAAGAAAATCCTGTTCCATCACATACAGAACCGAATCCCAACTATTACGATATCAGATAAGGATCAGCCACCCTGGTTTGACTCTGACACTTATCAGCTGTGTCTCAAAAAAGAAAAACTACGAGTCAAATCTAAAAGATCATGCCTAGCTGAGGACTATGAAAAGTTCTCACAATGTAGAAAAGATTTTCAAAATTTGGTCGACCAAAAAATGATATCAAATCTGAATGATGATGATGATCCAGCTCTTATATCAAAGAAATTCTGGAAACATGTCAAATCGACATCAAAATCTACTCGCATACCAGGAACAGTAAACTATAACGGCAGATTTAGAAACAATCACTTAGACCAAGCTGAAATGTTCAATGAATATTTTGCTGCACAGTTTTCCGAAGCGAGTAATTATGATGTTGATATTGATTATAGTAATGACTCAGTAAACGACATTGAGTTCAGTACCAGCAGAATCCGAAAAATTCTAAAAGATGTCAATGTTAATAAAGCTGCTGGTCCAGATGGTATCCATGGCAAAATTTTAAAGAACTGTAGAGATAGTATTGCATACCCACTCTCGAGCCTTTTTAAAATCTCTTATAATATAGGTCAGATACCATCTGAATGGAAATTTGCTAACGTAGTACCTGTGCATAAGAAAGGCCCCAAAACTTTAGTTGAAAATTATCGGCCAATCTCTCTCACAAGCCTTACAATGAAAATTTTTGAAAAAATAGTGAGAGATGAACTGTTGGCAAAATGCCAGCATAAAATACATGACAACCAGCATGGTTTTCTTCCTCAGAGGTCTTGTACTACACAAATGGTCGGGTATATAGACTGTCTTTCACTGTCTATTAACGATAATATCAGAACTGATGTGGTATACTTTGACTTTGCCAAGGCCTTTGACTCAGTTAACCATGATGTCATCCTAAAGAAATTAAAATCGGAATTTGAAATTGATGGTACACTGTTGAAGTTTATTATGAACTATCTCAAAGACCGCAAACAGTGTGTTATTATTGGGGGATCCCAATCAGAACAAAAGAATGTCCAATCAGGAGTTCCCCAAGGCTCCATTTTAGGACCTCTGTTTTTTGTACTCTTTATTAATGACATGTCAGAATGCGTAAGTGAAGGTACAAAAATTGCCCTGTACGCTGATGACACCAAAATATGGCGTAAAATTGTGGGCTGGAGGGACCATGAGATCCTACAAGCAGATATAGATGCCCTGCATTGCTGGGCAGTAAGAAACAAAATGAAGTTTCACCCCAATAAATGTAAGGTACTCTCTATATCAAGCAAATTGAGCGAAAAAGGAATTTTGAGTTTTTTCCCCTTTCAGCTCTTTGTCTACACCCTAGATGGAACGGCACTAGACTTCGTCCAGAGTGAAAAAGACCTTGGGGTCTTTGTTAGAACAGACCTTAAGTGGGAGGAGAACATAGTCAACCTTTGTACGAAAGCTAGTTCTCGTCTAGGTCTAATGAAAAGAACTCTACGGTTTATTAACGACCGTAAACAAAAACGGGCATTCTATCTAGCGCTGGTTAGGAGCCTTTTCGAAAATTGCAGTGTTGTCTGGAGACCAACAAGTGTTGTCTTGAATAACAAAGTTGAAAACATTCAGCGCAGAGCAATTAAGTGGATCCTTGGCGAACAGGATCATCACTATAATGACTTAGAATACTTGGCTCGATTAAGAGAGCTAGACATGTTGCCAATGGAGCTGAAGTTTGAATACACAGACTTACTATTATTCCATCAGATATACAATGGTCAATCTGTTCTGAAGCTCCCACCTTATTTAACCCCGATAACAACCAGTGAACAGGGTAGGTTGCGTTCAAACATAAGGCAACCCTCGAGATATAATGAAGTTGATACATCTCAAATGCCTGATATCAACCAGAGGCGACAGAACAGACACGACCACCTTTCCCTGAAGTGTACTGTGGAAGCAAAAGCTCACTCCTTTAAGAGAAGCTTCTTCTTCAGAACACACAGTGTCTGGAATGACCTACCAACTGACCTTAAAGAGATAAGTGATGCCGGAACTTTTAAGGCAAACCTGGCAAAACACTTTTGGGACAAATTGACAGACCCTGACTAAGTTAATGAGTGCAAATGATATTTATATGTGGGCCCCCGCCACTGATAGATCGGTCACGATACTGAATATAACAACTATAATATAAAAATAAATCTATTAAATAATATTAAATAACATTTACGTTCTGTCTCCATGATTTGACCCTGGTGCAGTCCTCAGTTAATATACTTAACTGGATTACGCGAACTTTATATCCGACTGTAATCTTGCTTCTAAGCGCTGTGTGATGATACGCGCGCAATTTTTGGCGCATTATGGGTCAGGTCATGGATACATTATGTATTTATTTTGATAATTCTAAATTTGCGTGTTTTAGATACATTTTGTGTGTTTAGATGGAGGTGGTGTTAGTGAGTCTGGGAGTAGAACTATTACTTGTAATACGTATACCCCCAGAACTTGTACCACTTAACCATGCTTTTAGTATTTATACAATATGGACTACAACTTTTACCCTACAAATGCCTCATGATAATAATGTCGTATATTTTTAATTCTCTTTGCTGTATTGTATAAACAATATAATGTACTATTTGTAAAAGTTTCAAATCAAAATCAAATCACCTAGAAGAATTATTCCATGATAAAAGGGTATTTTATCACTAGAATACATCGTAATACAATAGAGCTTAATAATCCGAGGATGGTAAGTTGCAGGTTGACATAGCGAATCTAAGTAAGTAAGAGTAAGTAAGTAAGATAAGTAAGAACTAAGAATGACGCATAGCAGTAGAAAACTGGCGAATAAGAACACCCCATTTTACCTGGGATATTTCTTACAAGAACGTTCTCTTCACATTGACCCCGAGCACAGTTAAGAAACCGTAACCAGTTGCTAGCCCTGTGACTTGCCCCATCTAGATAGATAACATCTCCGTCCTGACTAACAGCTCTCCACGCATATCCACTCTCTTTATCTGAAGACTCTAACTTCTTGTACTCTTTTTCTGATACGACTTTTCCCTTGTAGTTCCCTGATAAAATAGATAAATCAGAACAACTCACTTTAAGATACAAAACATTCTTGCATTTGTTGTCTGGTGAAAGGCACAGTGGACACCAAATGTCCAAATGTCCAAATGTCCAAAAAAGGAGTAAAGTCTGATCTCACCACATCACGTGACCTACCCAATATACTTCCTGGTTCAATAAACTGAGACGCAAAAGCTCCATCTCCAGCCCTAGGAATTGTGGATTCTTTGATTTCAATACAACTAGGTACTGGGAAGTTTGCAGTCTTCTTAGTTCCAGGTTGGGTGATGTCTTCTAAACAGGGGAGTAAAGGACCATGTAATTCACATTCTCCCCTCACATAATCTTTACACTGCCAACAAACTGGAAACAGAAGCATTTCATTGAAAATGTCATTTATAAAAGTATCTACCAAATTATTACAGTAAAAGTAACAGTACCGTTACCAACAAATTCAAGTATAGATTCAGAAAAAACATTTGATTTTGACGGACTAATTATTATTCAGATAGTTTGAAGTTTGAAGTTAAATTTTAGTTGTACAGATAAATGACTATAAATACCATCTAGTTTTGATAAACAATAAGTAAACTCCTATCTTCGTAGTAACTTACAATATTCAGACTGTAACACCTCCTCCAGATTATCGTTATCATCACGGTATGTAACCCCCTCTTTAGCAACTCTAGGAGGGTTACTACGTCTATTTTTAGAAGCTTTTCCTGCAGCTGCTTCAAGTTCTGTCTTGGAAAAGTCTTCCTGAATGTTATCTCTCTCAGCAGTCATTTCTGTAGGAACACTAATGTGTGTCTGTGCAGTGTTTGGCATCTCTTCTGATTCTTTATCTTCGTCAAACAAGCTCAGTAGATAACCATCATCCAACATTCCTAGATACTCAAAATCATCTATCTCTTCTTCTTTCTTCTCAGAGTCAGGTTCTGACTCAGGTAACCAATAAGAAGGACGGGGAATATTGTCAATATTCTCGTACACTTCTCTGTTACTGAGTATGGTGGGGAGTTTCTTTGTTTGTGTTACAGAGCTGGAGCTGGTATCAGACTCTGTGGTTACACCAGATGTGTTATCAATTCTCACATTGTCTGTTTCACTCTTATGATAACTACTGCTACTTTTATCTGGAGTTACCATGTCACTACGTTCAGTATCGTTGTGTGTACCGCTACAAGAGGGTAAGTTTTCATTCGGTTCAGGTGTTGTTCTGGCATATTCTTTGCTTTGTGGTATGTTACTTTTGTTAGTACTCGCTTTGGTATGGTCGCCATCATTATCTAGAACAGTAATTCTATCCATATCTTTGAGCACCTCCTTCACTTTCTCGTTATACCTGCGGGATAAAGAATCAACATGTAGCATATTTAAAATGCACTAGCACTATGCAATCAACTACAATTACAAAATATATATTATGCAGTGGTTACGAGAAGCCATAGAATTTTTATGTGTTAGACAACAAAGTATCAAAAGTAAAAACTAACTCGTCCTGCGTCATGTTGTGATGGTTATCATACAACTCAAGTGCTCGATCAAGACAGGTATCTGCCTGGTCCTTGTTTATTCTACCAAACTTATACTGTTCCTCATCATCGTCAGGTACATCATTACTCTTGTCTGACATAAGTTCATTATAGAGGTCAGGAGGCAGCTCAATTCTATCTATCTCCTCATCTGAGGACTCTTCATTCTCCCTGTAAAGTAGTACCCATTAAACATATAATATCATAACATTGTTTAGTTCAAAAACAAAACATCATTGAGAATCTGACAAATATTTATACAAAAAGAAACACGAGCAAAAGTTCTAAAACACGATTATGATCAAGATTCAAGCTATTAAATCAAATTAAATAAGAAGATATAATGTAACTAACATGTCCTCCAGGAATTTCTCCCAGCCACCAGGATAAGTCTCACAAGTAATTTTATAGAACTCCTCATCAGACATAAGAGAGTCTATGTTAGCCTCACATATTTCATGTGTAAACTCAGGGTTTTCTGCAATCAGTTTACACACATCTACAGGACCTTCTCCGAGGTGAGAAGCTAGATTCTTGTTGACAAGTAGATCTTGTAATGCTGGTACAGACTCAGGTTCTGAGTGTAGGAACATCTCTAGTTCCTCTACTTCAGGAGCTTCAGCTTCTTCAGGCTGATTAACTTGTCTTACACATTCCATACAATCCAGTTGTTCTACTTTTATCTTTTTAGTCTCAACTCTTCCATTCTTATGTTTACCTTTCTGGGACTTCTTCTTTTTGTTGGGAGATTTCTTCTTCTTATTGACTACAGGACTGTCTTTGTCACTGTCTGAGCTGTACCTCTCAGCGGGGTTTCTGGGATCAATATTAACAACCTCCTCAAGTTTTATCAACCCATCTTCATACTGATTCAGCAATGTTTCATCTGCGATGTGAGATAATGGTTATTTTATACGGAAATGAGTTTTGAGACTACTGTGTCATCAAAAACGAATTTAACAAAATTTGGCAATAATTTGATCTATCACAGTAGCCTTTCTGAAGTGACTACTTAAAGTTGGAGCAGAAGTTCAGAGGTTGAGAGGTTGATTAATTGTTAGTTCATTATTTGTTTAACGGATGAAGATTAAACTTACACTGTGAGTAGGCTGAGGTATGTTCCTCCCATTCTTTAGTCCGGTAACATTCCAGTGGTTCATCTAGTGTCATAAAACCCAGTTCCACCAACTTATCTCTGTTGTCTCTTATTCTCTTGTATCTTTTGAGACTGTGTTCACACACACCTCCACAGTACCTGGCCCCTTCAAACAACTTCCACAGTGACATTATGTTCTAAATATTACAAAGTAGATTTAGTTGGAAGCAACAGTTAGTTTACAACAGAGATATAATAAATATAACTTAAATTTAAATATTAATCAAATGTTGGTTCAAAGTTATTTGACAATATTAGTTTGAAGTTTGAACATCAGTTGGAAAACTCCACCAGTTCAGAATTATAAAATAACATTACATAGAAGAAAATATAGTCCAATAAGCAATAAGCATAAAGTAATTCGTCAAACTAAAAGAAAACTACCAAATACCAATAACAATTTCTTCAACAGGGTTTATTCTTGCAAGTAATTTCGTGTTTATTTCTGTCACCACTTTCACTAAACCTCCTATCACAGTAAGAACAGGAGTAGGGTTTCTCCCCTGTGTGTATCCTCATGTGTCTAGTTAAATTACACTTAACAGTAAACCCCTTACCACACACACTACACTTGTGTGGTCTTTCTCCAGTGTGTGTCAGAGCATGTTTCTTCAGATCACCAGATTGTAAAAACAGTTTTCCACAGTACTTACACTCGTGTTGTGATTCTAGCTCACGATCACCATGTGTTCGCTTGTGGTATCCAAGTTGTCCTGCTGTGTTAAAAGACATTGGACACACATCACATCTGTATTGTTGTAGTGGGTGCTCTGTACTGATATGATCATATAGTTCCTGTTCAGAAGGTTTCTTAACACCACACTGCCTGTACCGACACTTGTATGTCTTGTTAGTGTGGTTATTGTAGATGTGAAGAGTGAGACTCTGCTTCGTAATAGCAGTATAGTCACAGTGTGTACACTTGTACTGTTTGTCCCCCGTGTGTGTTAACATGTGACTGGTAAGAACTTGTTGGTAATCAGTTTTATATTTACAGTAAGGACAGCTGTGTCTCGCTACCTTATCGTGTACTGTTCTGATGTGTGCAGTTAAGTGACTCCTCTGAGCAAACATCTTCCTACACGTGTCACACTTGTGTACTTTCTCTTTGCCTGATACTCCTCGAGTCTTCCCACATGTGTGTGTCTCCAGTTCTTGTTGTGTCTTAAACAGCTTAAGACAACCAGTTGCAGTGCAATGATATTGTTGACCTGTATTAATGGAAGATTACTGAAATTAAGTGAGGAATTGTGGAAATTAATTTTGCATTTTAAGGGATAAATCGTACTACTAAAGTTAGAGATTGTTCTCACCATTTTCAATATCAGTCTGCAACGAATACCCTAACTCTTCGAAATAGTCCTCTCCGTAGAAAACTAGTAATTCCTCTCCCAACCCAATTGGTTTATACGAATAATACTGTATTCCACCTAGAATAATTATTCCATGATAGAAGGTATTGCACAACGATACAAATATTTATTTATACTAATAGTCATTAACTAAACCAATGTTATTTCATCACCAGAATACACCTAAGTAAAATACAGCTTATTTAATCTGTGGATGGTAAGTTGCAGGTTTATAACGATTCTGCCCAACATACTTGGGTATGAAATATTCACAACTCACGTAAATAGATAAGTAAAAACGTAGAAAACTGGTGCATATGTGCACCCAATTTTACCTGGGATATTTCTAACAAGGACGTTCTCTTCACATTGACCCCGAGCACAGTTAAGAAACCGTAACCAGTTGCTAGCCCTGTGACTAGCCCCATCGAGGTATATAACATCACCGTCCTGGCTAACAGCACGCCACGCATATCCACTCTCTTTATCTGAAGTCTCTAACTTCTTGTACTCCTTTTCTGATATGACTTTTCCCTTGTAGTTACCTGATAAAATAGATAAATCAGAACAACTCACTTTAGGGTACAAAACATTTATAGACTTGCTGTCTGGAGAAAGGGACAGTGGACACCAAAAAAAGAAGTAAAAGCTGATCCCAGCAAATCACGTGACTTACCCAATATACTTCCTGGTTCAATAAACTGAGACGCAAAAGCTCCATCTCCAGCCCTGGGAATTGTGGATTCTTTGATTTCAATACAACTAGGTACTGGAAAGTTTGCAGTCTTCTTAGTTCCCGGTTGGCTGATATCTTCTAAACAGGGGAGTAAAGGACCATGTAGTTCACATTCTCCCCTCACATAATCTTTACACTGCCAGCAAACTGAAAAACAGAATTTCATTGAAAACATCATTTATAGAAGTATCCACCAAATTATTACAGTAAAAGAAACAGTAACATTACTATTTAATTTAAGCAAAGATTTAGTAAAATTCTGAGGGATCATTATAATTCTGATAGTTTCAACTTTAATTTCAGTTGTTGCTACCAAACAAAAAATACCATATAGTAAACAATAAGTAAACTCTACGTATTGTAACTTACAATATTCAGACTGTAACACCTCCTCCAGATTATCGTTATCATCACAGTATGTAACCCCCTCTTTAGCAACTCTAGGAGGGTTACTACGTCTATTTTTAGAAGCTTTTCCTGCAGCTGCTTCAACTTCTGTCTTGGAGAAGTCTTCCTGAATGTTATCTCTCGCAGCAGTCATTTCTGTAGGAACACTAATGTGTGTCTGTGCAGTGTTTGGCATCTCTTCTGATTCTTTATCTTCGTCAAACAAGCTCAGTAGATAACCATCGTCCAACATTCCTAGATACTCAAAATCATCTATCTCTTCTTCTTTCTTCTCAGAGTCAGGTTCTGACTCAGGTAACCAATAAGAAGGACGGGGAATATTGTCAATATTCTCGTACACTTCTCTGTTACTAAGTATGGTGGGGAGTTTCTTTGTTTGTGTTACAGAGCTGGAGCTGGTATCAGACTCTGTTGTTACACCAGATGTGTTATCAATTATCACATTGTCTGTTTCACTCTTATGATAACTACTGCTACTTTTATCTGGAGTTACCATGTCACTACGTTCAGTATCGTTGTGTGTACCGCTACAAGAGGGTAAGTTGTCATTAGGTTCAGGTGTTGTTCTGGCATATTCTTTGCTTTGTGGTATGTTACTTTTGTTAGTACTCGATTTGGTATGGTCGACATCATTATCTAGAACAGTAATTCTATCCATATCTTTGAGCACCTCCTTCACTTTTTTGTTATACCTGCAGGATAAACAATTAACATGTTAGTCATATTTAAAATTCACCAGCAACATGCAATCAACTACAATTACAAAATATATATAATGCAGTGGTTACGAGAAGCCATAGAATTTTTATGTGTAAGAGAACAAAGTATCAAAAGTAAAAACTAACTCGTCCTGCGTCATGTTGTGATAGTTATCATACAACTCAAGTGCTCGATCAAGACAAGTATCTGCCTGGTCCTTGTTTATTCTACCAAACTTATACTGTTCCTCATCATCGTCAGGTACATCATTACTCTTGTCAGACATAAGTTCATTATAGAGGTCAGGAGGCAGCTCAATTCTATCTATCTCCTCATCTGAGGACTCTTCATTCTCCCTGTAAAGTAGTACCCATTAAACATATAATATCATAACATTGTTTAGTTCAAAAACAAAACATCATTGAGAATCTGACAAATATTTATGCAAAAAGAAACACGAGCAAAAGTTCTAAAACACGATTATGATCAAGATTCAAGCTATTAAATCAAATTAAATAAGAAGATATAATGTAACTAACATGTCCTCCAGGAATTTCTCCCAGCCACCAGGATAAGTCTCACAAGTAATTTTATAGAACTCCTCATCAGACATAAGAGAGTCTATGTTAGCCTCACATATTTCATGTGTAAACTCAGGGTTTTCTGCAATCAGTTTACACACATCTACAGGACCTTCTCCGAGGTGAGAAGCTAGATTCTTGTTGACAAGTAGATCTTGTAATGCTGGTACAGACTCAGGTTCTGAGTGTAGGAACATCTCTAGTTCCTCTACTTCAGGAGCTTCAGCTTCTTCAGGCTGATTAACTTGTCTTACACATTCCACACAATCTAGCTGTTCTACTTTTATCTTTTTAGTCTCAACTCTTCCATTCTTATGTTTACCTTTCTGGGACTTTTTTTTGTTGGGAGATTTCTTCTTCTTATTGACTACAGGACTGTCTTTGTCACTGTCTGAGCTGTACCTCTCAGCGGGGTTTCTGGGATCAATATTAACAACCTCCTCAAGTTTTATCAACCCACCTTCATACTGATTCAGCAATATTTCATCTGCGATGTGAGATAATGGTTATTTTATACGGAAATGAGTTTTGACACTACCGTGTCAAAAGACTAATTTCACAAAATCGTGCAATAATTTGATCAATCACAGTAGCCTATTTGAAGTTGGAGCAGAAGTTCAGAGGTTGAGAGGTTCATTAATTGTTAGTTCATTATTTGTTTAACGGAAGAAAATTGAACTTACACTGTGAGTAGGCTGAGGTATGTTCCTCCCATTCTTTAGTCCGGTAACATTCCAGTGGTTCATCTAGTGTCATAAAACCCAGTTCCACCAACTTATCTCTGTTGTCTCTTATTCTCTTGTATCTTTTGAGACTGTGTTCACACACACCTCCACAGTACCTGGCCCCTTCAAACAACTTCCACAGTGACATTATGTTCTAAATATTACAAACTAGATTTAGTTGGAAGCAACAGTTAGTTTACAACAGAGATATAATGAATATAACTTAAATTTAAATCTTAATCAAATGTTGGTTTAAAGTTATTCTGACAATATTAGTTTGAACATCAGTTGGAAAATGACAAATCAAATACAATTAAGAATTATTTAATAACTTTGACAGAAGAAATAGTCCAGTTAGCATTAAGTAATTCGACAAACTATAACAGAAAGTTACCAATAACTCAATAACAATATTCTCAACAAGGTCTATTCTTGCAAAAAATTTCATGTTTGTTTTTGTTATTACTATCACAAAACCTCTTATCACAGTAAGAACAGGAGTAGGGTTTCTCCCCTGTGTGTGTCCTCATGTGTCTATTTAAACTACTGTTCGTATTAAACCCTTTACCACACACACTACACTTGTGTGGTTTCTCTCCAGTGTGTGTCAGAGCATGTTTCTTCAGATTATCTGATTTTAAAAACAGTTTTCCACAGTACTTACACTCGTGTTGTGATTCTAGCTCACGATCACCATGTGTTCGCCTGTGGTATCCAAGTTGTCCTGCTGTGTTAAAAGACATTGGACACACATCACATCGGTATTTTTGTAGTGGATGCTCTGTGCTGATATGATCATATAGTTCCTGTTCAGAAGGTTTCTTAACACCACACTGCTTGTACCGACACTTGTATGTCTTGTTAGTGTGGTTATTGTAGATGTGAGAAGTGAGACTCTGCTTCGTAATAGCAGTATAGTCACAGTGTTTACACTTGTACTGTTTGTCCCCATTGTGAGTTAACATGTGACATGTGAGAGCGTGTTGGTGATCAGTCCTATATTTACAGTAGGGACAGCTGAGTCTCGCTACCTTATCGTGTACTATCCTGATGTGTATAGTTAAATTGGCTCTTCGAGTAAACATCTTCCCACAGGTGGCACACTTGTGTACTTTCTCTTTTCCTGATACTCCTCGAGTTTTCCCACATGTGTGTGTCTCCAGTTCTTGTTGTGTCTTAAACAGCTTAAGACAACCAGTTGCAGTGCAATGATATTGCTGACCTGTATTTATGGAAGATTACTGAAATAAAGTGAGGAATTGTCCAGCAATATAATAAAAATAGTCTCGTGTTCACTTAATTTTGCATTTTAAGGGATGAATCGTACTACTAAAGTTAGAGATTGTTCTCACCATTTTCAATATCAGTCTGCAACGAATACCCTAACTCTTCGAAATAGTCCTCTCCGTAGAAAACTAGTAATTCCTCTCCCAACCCAATTGGTTTATATGAATAATACTGTATTCCACCTAGAATAATTATTTCATGATAGAAGGCATTGCACAACGATACAAATATTTATTTATACTAATAGTCATTTAAAACTAAACCAATGTTATTTCATCACCAGAATACACCTAAGTAAAATACAGCTTATTTAATCTGTGGATGGTAAGTTGCAGGTTTATAACGATTCTGCCCAACATACTTGGGTATGAAATATTCACAACTCATGTAAATAGATAAGTAAAAACGTAGAAAACTGGCGCATATGTGCACCCAATTTTACCTGGGATATTTCTAATAAGGACGTTCTCTTCACATTGACCCCGAGCACAGTTAAGAAACCGTAACCAGTTGCTAGCCCTGTGACTAGCCCCATCTAGATAGATAACATCCCCGTCCTGACTAACAGCTCTCCACGCATATCCACTCTCTTTATCTGAAGACTCTAACTTCTTGTACTCCTTTTCTGATACGACTTTTCCCTTGTAGTTACCTGATAAAATAGATAAATCAGAACAACCCACTTTAGGGTACAAAACATTTATAGACTTGCTGTCTGGAGAAAGGGACAGTTTTTGTTTTAAAGACCCGAGGGCCACCCTTAAGGGCTTTGAAACCGGTTTATTGACAATATAATATATAATAAATAAACTGAAATCGTAACATTCATGTCAATACTAACTGAAATAATATAAGCTGTAGTTAAAATAATAATACTTACTGTCACTTAATTAAGATATATGATGTAATAAAATGAATCTCTTTATTTCCACACTAATTCTCACACCAAGCTTTAATTCACACACCAAAACTTTAAATTTTATCAGATTACAAATGTCCTAATATATACGTCTCTTATCTTTTAGTTAAAAAGTCAGGGGTGCAGCCGTTTAACTTCAATTAAGATTAAAACAATTCATCACGCTGGATCACGATGTTATTCTATCAAAATCAGCTAGGCGATATTTGAATTGATTGCTGCAGGGCTCTGTGTGGTACTGTGTAGTGGTAAGTGGGTGTGTGTGCGCGTGGTTGTTATTATGATGCGTTGAGATCAGCTACGTTGATGATATGTGATTGTGCGTGTTGTGCTGATAAGGCTTTAATTGAGCAATGGCCAGGAGTACTATCAGTAAACTAGTAGCAGGTCTGGCAGTGAAAATTTTCCGATTTCAAAAGTGGTCGGTAATTATTAGTTTTGAAGTGCTTTTGTAACTAAGAAGTTTATTGAGTGAGTGCCTCATGTTGTTTAGATAGTTTACTAATACTAAGTTATGTTGTGGGGTGTGTGATTTTGTGACCGTTGAGATTTCCTTAAACCTGGAATATTATTCAGTAAAAAGGTTTGCCAGCTTTCCTCGTTGTTGCCTCTTGATTGGTGTTCCAATAGCACACGTTTTGCATTAGACTTGTAAATGTTTATTGAAAATAAGCTGGGAAGACAAGTTATATTTAAGTTTGTTTCAGTGATGGCAAGCAGTGGACCTTTAAAAAATACTGATTGTCTAAAAGTGTTACTACCGTATGTAAGAAGCCAGTCAGAGCTAGTCTCATGGCTGGAGTTAACTGTCGGGATATTACTTGGAAAAAGGCCTTTGATTGATTTTGGCACTGTTTCAGGGAAGTATTTCATCCTGTGCATTAATATAAGTGCGTTCTTCACGATTATTCCATGAATAGTGAGAATTCCATACTCTTTAAAGCTATCCCTCGTGTGTGCAGGCAATTGGCCGTCCTTGTAGAAATAGTTGACGTAACCTGGCATAACCATTCTCACACCTTGTTTCTGTTTTGTGAATAGTGACTCAATGTGTGATTTGGCTGCGAAACCCCAGACGAGGGAGCAGAAATTGAGGTGGGATTGAACAAAGCTGTGATAAATTTGAAGCCTGACTTTTAACGGTAAGTGCCGTTTAATTTTGTACATGATACCCATGTATCTATTCATCCTGGCCCTAACGGCATGTATGTGTTTGCTCCACGTTAATTTATCATCGATTATTACTCCGAGGAAACGTGCCTCAGTCACTTGATCTATCACTACTCCAGCTATGGAAACATTAATGTTAGAAAGGGTTGTCGTTCTATGATTGCTAAATACCATAAAGTGAGTTTTTTTGAGATTGAGAGCAAGTCCGTTGCTATCAACCCATTTGATCAGGAGCGAGGTTATTTGATTTAGTTTGAACTGAACCTCTTGCTCGGTGTAACCAGTAACTATGATATTCGCATCGTCTGCGTACAGTATAAACTTAGCTAAATTTGTGATGTTTGGAAGGTCGTTGATATAGATCACAAAGAGTAATGGTCCCAAAATCGACCCCTGGGGTACTCCAAACTGGATTTCTTTGGGCCTCGAGTCTTCTCCACCGACAGTCACGAATTGGTGGCGGCCGCTCAGATAGGACTCGAACCATTTAAGTGCTGAACCTTTAATGCCGTAATGTTCCAGTTTTTTTAGTAGTATAGGATGTTCAATAACGTCAAAAGCTTTAGAGTAGTCAAGAAGAAGCAGCACAGCAATTTGCTTACTGTTGAGAGAGTGTAGAATACTATTTTGAGCATTAAGTAAAGCGTGTTCACATGACATGCCAGGCCTAAAACCGTACTGGCTTTCAAAAAGTGATCCATTGAAGTCTAAAAATTCAAGAACTCGACTATGCATAAGTTTTTCGTAAATTTTCGAGAAAGAGCTTAGCAAAGAGATTGGTCTGTAATTAGTAACTTCTGTTTTAGAGCCACCTTTGTGTATCGGAACAACTCGTGCCGATTTTAGAGCATTTGGAAATATTCCCTCAGTAAAGGAAGAATTTATGATTACGGCCAACGTTTTTGTGAATTTCGTATCTAAGCTTGCAAGCTTCATTGGTTCAATTTTTGTGTCAAGTGTCGCTTTGTTCTTGAATTTTTTTACTACTTTACTGATTTCAGAGGGCGTAACAGGTCTTAACTCAATACTGCTAGTACCTATATCCGTCCTACGTCCGTCCTGTAAGAATTCTTCAAAACCTCCTGGATCGAAAGTTTGCCTAGCACTTATCTGGGACTTTATGTTGCTTGCAATGTTGGAAAAATACTCATTAAATTTAGCCGATACATCGGAATGGCTGCTGAGTATGTTTCCACATTCATCCTTTATTTTAATAGGCCCAGAGTGCCTGACATTTCTACCCAGGAGACTATTAATAAGTTGCCACTGCTTTTTGGAGTTGTCGCGGTACTCCTCAAAAAAGTTTTTGTAGTACTTGGTTTTGGCCAAATTTATATGTTTGTTACAAAATTTATTAATTTTTTTGTACGCAGCAATATTTGTCACGCTGGGAACTTTTATCTTATCGTGGTAGAGACGTTGTCTACGGGCACATGCATCTTCTAGCCACGGTAAGATCCAGGGTTTTGAGTCGTGCCGTTCATTTTTACGTCTAGGTCCAGGTTTCTTTTCAGGATATGCTTGATCGTAATGTTTGGAATAGATTTCACTGAATTTGTCATACTGGTCATTCGCATTAGTTTCTCTGTGCACCTCACTCCACGTTTCGCTCTCAAAAATTCTTTTGAAATCAGCATGTGCAGCCGCATTGAACCTGCGGAAGTTCGGCACCTTCTCACAGTGGACACCAAAAAAGAAGTAAAAGCTGATCCCAGCAAAACACGTGACTTACCCAATATACTTCCTGATTCAATAAACTGAGACGCAAAAGCTCCATCTCCAGCCCTGGGAATTGTGGATTCTTTGATTTCAATACAACTAGGAACTGGAAAGTTTGCAGTCTTCTTAGTTCCTGGTTGGCTGATATCCTCTAAACAGGGGAGTAAAGGACCATGTAGTTCACATTCTCCCCTCACATAATCTTTACACTGCCAACAAACTGGAAACAGAAGCATTCCATTGAAAATGTCATTTATAAAAGTATCTACCAAATTATTACAGTTAAAGTAACAGTACCGTTACCAACAAATTCAAGTATAGATTCAGAAAAAAAAACATTTGATTTTGACGGACTAATTATTATTCAGATAGTTTGAAGTTTGAAGTTAAATTTTAGTTGTACAGATAAATGACTATAAATACCATATAGTATTGATAAACAATAAGTAAACTCCTATCTTCGTAGTAACTTACAATATTCAGACTGTAACACCTCCTCCAGATTATCGTTATCATCACGGTATGTAACCCCCTCTTTAGCAACTCTAGGAGGGTTACTACGTCTATTTTTAGAAGCTTTTCCTGCAGCTGCTTCAAGTTCTGTCTTGGAGAAGTCTTCCTGAATGTTATCTCTCTCAGCAGTGGTATCTGTAGGAACACTAATGTGTGTCTGTGCAGTGTTTGGCATCTCTTCTGTTTCTTTATCTTCGTCAAACAAGCTTAGTAGATAACCATCATCCAACATTCCTAGATACTCAAAATCATCTATCTCTTCTTCTTTCTTCTCAGGGTCAGGTTCCGACTCAGGTAACCAATAAGAAGGACGGGGAATATTGTCAATATTCTCGTACACTTCTCTGTTACTGAGTATGGTGGGGAGTTTCTTTGTTTGTGTTACAGAGCTGTAGCTGGTATTAGACTCTGTTGTTACACCAGATGTGTTATCAATTCTCACATTGTCTGTTTCACTCTTATGATAACTACTGCTACTTTTATCTGGAGTTACCATGTCACTACGTTCAGTATCGTTGTGTGTACCGCTACAAGAGGGTAAGTTGTCATTAGGTTCAGGTGTTGTTCTGGCATATTCTTTGCTTTGTGGTATGTTACTTTTGTTAGTACTCGCTTTGGTATGGTCGCCCTCATTATCTAGAACAGTAATTCTATCCATATCTTTGAGCACCTCCTTCACTTTTTTGTTATACCTGCGGAATAAACAATTAACATGTTAGTCGTATTTAAAATGCACTAGCAACATGCAATCAATTACAATTACGAAATATATACTATGCAGTGGTTACGAGAAGCAATTAAATGTATATTTATGTGTAAGACATCAAAGTACCAAAAGTAAAAACTAACTCGTCCTGAGTCATGTTGTGATAGTTATCATACAACTCAAGTGCTCGATCAAGACAAGTATCTGCCTGGTCCTTGTTTATTCTACCAAACTTATACTGTTCCTCGTCATCGTCAGGTACATCATTACTCTTGTCTGACATAAGTTCATTATAGAGGTCAGGGGGCAGCTCAATTCTATCTATCTCCTCATCTGAGGACTCTTCATTCTCCCTGTAAAGCAGTACCCATTAAATATATAATATCATAACATTGTTTAGTTCAAAAACAAAACATCATTGAGAATCTGACTAATATTTATGCAAAAAAGAAACACGAGCAAAAGTTCTAAAACACGATTATGATCAAGATTCAAGCTATTAAATCAAATTAAATAAGAAGATATAATGTAACTAACATGTCCTCCAGGAATTTCTCCCAGCCACCAGGATAAGTCTCACAAGTAATTTTATAGAACTCCTCATCAGACATAAGAGGGTCTATGTTAGCCTCACATATTTCATGTGTAAACTCAGGGTTTTCTGCAATCAGTTTACACACATCTACAGGACCTTCTCCGAGGTGAGATGCTAGATTCTTGTTGACAAGTAGATCTTGTAATGCTGGTACAGAGTCAGGTTCTGAGTGTAGGAACATCTCTAGTTCCTCTACTTCAGGAGCTTCAGCTTCTTCAGGCTGATTAACTTGTCTTACACATTCCATACAATCTAGCTGTTCTACTTTTATCTTTTTAGTCTCAACTCTTCCATTCTTATGTTTACCTTTCTGGGACTTCTTCTTTTTGTTGGGAGATTTCTTCTTCGTATTGACTACAGGACTGTCTTTGTCACTGTCTGAGCTGTACCTCTCAGCGGGGTTTCTGGGATCAATATTAACAACCTCCTCAAGTTTTATTAACCCATCTTCATACTGATTCAGCAATATTTCATCTGCGATATGAGATAATGGTTATTTTATACGGAAATGAGTTTTGACACTACCGATTTAATACTACTGTGTCAAAATACTAATTTCACAAAATCGTGCAATAATTTGATCAATCACAGTAGCCTATTTGAAGTTGGAGCAGAAGTTCAGATGTTGAGAGGTTCATTAATTGTTAGTTCATTATTTGTTTAACAGATGAAAATTAAATTTACACTGTGAGTAGGCTGAGGTATGTTCCTCCCATTCTTTAGTCCGGTAACATTCCAGTGGTTCATCTAGTGTCATAAAACCCAGTTCAACCAACTTATCTCTGTTATCTCTTATTCTCTTGTATCTTTTGAGACTGTTTTCACACACACCTCCACAGTACCTGGCCCCTTCAAACAACTTCCACAGTGACATTATCTTCTAAATATTACAAACTAGATTTAGTTGGAAGCAACAGTTAGTTTACAACAGAGATATAATAAATATAACTTAAATTTAAATCTTAATCAAATGTTGGTTCAAAGTTATTTGACAATATTAGTTTGAACATCAGTTGGAAAACTCCACCAGTTCTACATACATGCTACATGAAGAGGTCTCCTCCTAGTCGTTGGAGTGGCCTGCATCACACACATCTCTTCTACGGCGTAACATGTTCCTCCATTCCACTCGCTTTAGAGCCAACTGTTTTACTGCATCTCTGCTGATGTTATCGACACCTGTAAATTCAGCCGCATCCTCGAGTACACAGGCCATCCAGCCTTTGCGGGGTCGTCCTCTCAGTCTCTTTCCATAGTTTGGTTTCCAATCCAGTAAGAAATTGGGGAACCGCGTTTCTGGCATTCTGACAACATGTCCGTACCACCTTAGTCTAGCCGCACCGATGAAAGTTTCGATAGACTTAATTCCAGCACGCCTGAGAACTTCTTCATTGGAGACATGGAAGAACCACTTTATCTTCAAGATTCTTCTCAGGGAGGTCAGATGGAAGACCTCAAACCGTTTCATCTGCTTCTTTGTTGTGTTCCACACTTCAGCTCCATATAACAGAATAGTAATAACAGCAGCCTTGTAGATACGGATCTTGGTGGGCGTTCTTATAGTTCGACTGTTCCATATCTTCCAAAGCTGATGGAACGCACCATTAGCACGCTGGATCCTGATGTCAAGATCTCGGTCAATGGTACCATCCCCACTGATGTTGGCACCAAGATAAACAAAGTTGCTGACCTGTTCAACAGGTTCTCCCTCCACTGTTAGCTTCATACTGTCTCTTTCGGTGTAAGGTCGCTGGGACGCACACTTGCTGATCGCCATGCATTGTGTCTTTTTAGCGTTGATCTTCAACCCAGCATAAGAGGTGTAATGAGCTATAAGATCAGTGGACTCTTGCAGCCCTTCTTCAGTATTGTCCATCACTGCCAGATCATCAGCGTAGTCACTATCCATGATAACTTTTTCATCTGCACCCTTTAGTTCCTTTTGCAGTACAGCACCATGACTGATTGCCTTGTGAACCTCGGCCAAAAAGATTCCAAAGTTCAGACAGAAATTAAATACAGGAGGGCCCTGGATATCACCCTGTCCAGTGCCCGAATTAACAGAGAACCAATCAGACATTTCACCATTAACCCTGACAGCACTCATGGTTCCATTGAAGAATGCCTGAAAGATTCTAACATATTTCTCAGGAAGTCCATAGTGTCTCATGCTTGACCAAATAAACTCTCTTCTGATGGAATCAAATGCTGCCTTAAAATCAATGAAATTAACATAAAGTGGAATGTTAAACTCAATGCAGTTGTGAATAATGGTGCGGATGGAATAAATCTGATCAATTCATGAGCGGTTCCGTCTGAACCCACACTGATTTTCCCTAAGAAGACACTCCATTCCAACATCCAGCCTCTTAGGAAGAACCACCAGTTCAGAATTATAAAATAACATTACATAGAAGAAAATATAGTCCAATAAGCAATAAACATAAAGTAATTCGTCAAACTACAAGAAAACTACCAATAACAATTTCTTCAACAGGGTTTATTCTTGCAAGTAATTTCGTGTTTATTTCTGTCACCACTTTCACTGAATCTCCTATCACAATAAGAACAGGAGTAGGGTTTCTCCCCTGTGTGTGTCCTCATGTGTCTAGTTAAATTACTGTTCTGAGTAAAGCCCTTGCCACACACACTACACTTGTGTGGTCTCTCTCCAGTGTGTGTCAGAGCATGTCTCTTCAGATGAGCTGATTCTAAAAACAGTTTTCCACAGTACTTACACTCGTGTTGTGATTCTAGCTCACGATCACCATGTGTTCGCTTGTGGTATTCAAGATTATCTGCTCTGTTATAAGACATCGGACACACATCACATCTGTATTGTTGTAGTGGATGCTCTGTGCTGATATGATCATATAGTTCCTGTTGAGAAGGTTTCTTAACACCACACTGCTTGTACCGACACCTGTATGTCTTGTTAGTGTGGTTATTGTAGATGTGAGCAGTGAGATTCTGCTTCGTAATAGCAGTATAGTCACAGTGTGTACACTTGTACTGTTTGTCCCCATTGTGAGTTAACATGTGACGTGTGAGGTGAGGTTGGTGATCAGTCCTATATTTACAGTAAGGACAGCTCAGTCTCGCTACCTTATCGTGTACTGTTCTGATGTGTGCAGTTAAGTGACTCCTCCAACCAAACATCTTCCCACACGTGGCACACTTGTGTACTTTCTCTTTTCCTGATACTCCTCGAGTCTTCCCACATGTGTGTGTCTCCAGTTCTTGTTGTGTCTTAAACAGCTTAAGACAACCAGTTGCAGTGCAATGATATTGCTGACCTGTAATAATGGAAGATTACTGAAATAAAGTGATGACCTGTCCAGCAATATCTTGAAATAAAGATAATCTTCGATGTGACCATTTAATTTACGACTATTTGTCACTATAGAATTTTTCTTACCATTTTCAACATCAGTCTGCAACGAATACCCTAACTCTTCAAAATAGTCCTCTCCGTAGAAAACTAGTAATTCCTCTCCCAGCCCAATTGGTTTATACGAATAATACTGTATTCCACCTAGAATAATTATTCCATGATAGAAGGCATTGCACAACGATACAAATATTTATTTATACTAATAGTCATTAACTAAACCAATGTTATTTCATCACCAGAATACACCTAAGTAAAAAACAGCTTATTTAATCTGTGGATGGTAAGTTGCAGGTTTATAACGATTCTGCCCAACATACTTGGGTATGAAATATTCACAACTCATGTAAATAGATAAGTAAAAACGTAGAAAACTGGCGCATATGTGCACTCAATTTTACCTGGGATATTTCTAACAAGGACGTTCTCTTCACATTGACCCCGAGCACAGTTAAGAAACCGTAACCAGTTGCTAGCCCTGTGACTAGCCCCATCTAGGTAAATAACATCACCGTCCTGACTAACAGCTCTCCACGCATATCCACTCTCTTTATCTGAAGACTCTAACTTCTTGTACTCCTTTTCTGATATGACTTTTCCCTTGTAGTTACCTGATAAAATAGATAAATCAGAACAACCCACTTTAGGGTACAAAACATTTATAGACTTGCTGTCTGGAGAAAGGGACAGTGGACACCAAAAAAAGAAGTAAAAGTTGATCCCAGCAAATCACGTGACTTACCCAATATACTTCCTGGTTCAATAAACTGAGACGCAAAAGCTCCATCTCCAGCCCTGGGAATTGCGGATTCTTTGATTTCAATACAACTAGGAACTGGGAAGTTTACAGTCTTCTTGGTTCCAGGTTGGCTGATATCTTCTAAACAGGGGAGTAAAGGACCATGTAGTTCACATTCTCCCCTCACATAATCTTTACACTGCCAACAAACTGAAAACAGAAGCATTCCATTGAAAACATCATTTATAAAAGAATCCACCGAATTATTACAGTAAAAGTAACAGTAACATAACTATTTAATTTAAGCAAAGATTCTTTTGAACATCTGATTCTGACGGATTATTATAATTCAGACTTGAATTTTAGTTCAAGCAGTTGTGCCCAGTATAGCTAAGTCCAGCAGTCAACGTAATCAAGCACTACACGACAACTCATTTGCAGTCACTGGACCTCGATTATGGAATGTAATCCCAACACATATGCACACCATCGAGGATCCTATGCAATTCAAAACAGGTTTTAACGAACTTTGTGAAGTCATTTCCGGACGAGCCTCCAGCTCCAGGATACAGCCGTCGGAATGGAAACTCCTTGCTTGATTGGAGTGGTGATAAAACAGTTTCTACACTGTCCGGGGGGTCGACTTTTTCGATGGCCCGATAGAGGATTCTATGAAACCCTACAAAGTAAAGTAAGTAGTTGCTGATACATAACAAAAAATACCATATAGTATTGATAAACAAATTTAAGTTAACTCCCGTCTACATTGTAACTTACAATATTCAGACTGTAACACCTCCTCCAGATTATCGTTATCATCACGGTATGTAACCCCCTCTTTAGCAACTCTAGAAGGATTACTACGTCTATTTTTAGAAGCTTTTCCTGCAGCTGCTTCAAGTTCTGTCTTGGACAATTCTTCCTGAATGTTATCTCTCTCAGCAGTGGTTTCTGTAGGAACACTGTTCTGTGTCTGTGTAATGTTTGGAAACTCTTCTGATTCTTTATCTTCGTCAAACAAGCTCAGTAGATAACCATCATCCAACATTCCTAGATACTCAAAATCATCTATCTCTTCTTCTTTCTTCTCAGGGTCAGGTTCTGACTCAGGTAACCAATAAGAAGGACGGGGAATATTGTCAATATTCTCGTACACTTCTCTGTTACTGAGTATGGTGGGGAGTTTCTTTGTTTGTGTTACAGAGCTGGAGCTGGTATTAGATTCTGTTGTTACACCAGATGTGTTATCAATTCTCACATTGTCTGTTTCACTCTTATGATAAGTACTGCTACTTTTATCTGGAGTTACCATGTCACTACGTTCAGTATCGTTGTGTGTACCGCTACAAGAGGGTAAGTTGTCATTCGGTTCAGGTGTTGTTGTGGCATATTCTTTGCTTTGTGGTATGTTACTTTTGTTAGTACTCGCTTTGGTATGGTCGCCATCATTATCTAGAACAGTAATTCTATCCATATCTTTGAGCACCTCCTTCACTTTCTCGTTATACCTGCGGGATAAACAATTAACATGTAAGTCATATTTAAAATGCACTAGCAACATGCAATCAATTACAATTACGAAATATATACTATGCAGTGGTTAGGAGAAGCAATTAAATGTATATTTATGTGCAAGACAACAAAGTATCAAAAGTAAAAACTAACTCGTCCTGAGTCATGTTGTGATAGTTATCATACAACTCAAGTGCTCGATCAAGACAAGTATCTGCCTGGTCCTCGTTTATTCTACCAAACTTATACTGTTC